ATGACCCCTTCATTAGCAGAAGAGCAGACTAGCGTGTAGGCCAGTGCCTCATGCCTTAAATATTGAGGCTACATATCTGTCTACCAAGCTTTAGGCCGACAAATAGAAATTGTCTTGTATATAGTTGAAGAGCTTGTTTTGTTTCAAATTGACATTCACGAGCTTTGGTGTATTGAGCTGTGTTATCCTTCACCCTTGAAATGCTGGGGGACGAGGTGGTCTGTGGGCGTTGGGGACTTTCTTGCTTCATCGCCACACCTTTTCTTTTTCTCTCTCTGCAGGTGCCAAGGACCAGGCAGTTGGTGACGTCTCCAAGTCCTATGGGAGCGTCTGATAGCAAGGTCCTGCCACTCAATGTTCAGGTGGTCACTCAGCACATGCAATCAGTCAAGCAGTCACCAAAGACTCCCCAGAACGTTCCTGCCAGCCCAGTTGGTGACCGCTCTGCCCGACATCGCTACCCGCAGATCTTACCGAAGCCAGCAAATACCAGTGCTCTCACCATCCGCTCTCCCACAACGGTGCTCTTTACCAGTAGCCCAATCAAGACTGTTGTGCCAGCTCCACATGTGAATTCTTTAAATGTGGTAAAAATGACAGCAATATCTCTTGCCCCAGGCAGTAGTAGTGTGCCCGTCAAACAGACGCCTTCAGTTAGCAGTAGTGCAGGAGCAGTGGAAGAAGGGAGGACTGGTCCACAGATCAAGAATGCATCTGTTGTTTCACTTCAGTCTCCAGGAGCCAAGCCTAGCACTGTTGTAGCTGCGCCTGCAGTCAAGATCAAAATGGAACCAGAAGCAATGCTGGATGAGAACTCAGTACAAGGCCAAGAGAGCTCTGACGTGTCTAAATCCATAAAGGCAACCCCTGACCTGCCTCCTGCTCAACTAATTAATTTTGAGCTTGCAACCTCGAAGGTTTCAGCTGATGATGTCGTGGAGGCAAAACCAGTTAAGGGCTGTGATCAGGGAGCTGAAGAAGCAGGGATCAAATATAAAACACAATCTAATGAGATCACACCAGTTTCTTCAGCAGGCAATAATCAAAGCATTCTAAAGCTCTCAGTTGCCGGTCAAAACTTGTCCAGCACCAGCATTGGTTCACCTCCTACTGGTGAGTCTACGATTAAAGACAAAACATGCACTAAAAGTCCAAGAAAGCGACAACCTTCTACACTTCAGGATTCCCAGGTACCACCTGTAAAGAAACCACTGGTGGAGCAGCTTTCAGCTGGTAATGCTGTGGAGGGTCAAAAAGCAAACAGTGTTAAGAAGTCTCCAAAGGTTGGATCGTTAGCTAACAGTGACAATACAGCAACACTTGCTCAAGTTCCCAGCAAGGTACCTGTGAAGGTACCTGTACCTTCTGCAGCTGCAGCAAACTTAGCAACAGACCTTTCTTTGAGCACCAATTTAAATACCAGTGATTCTACTTTAGGACAGCAGCTTGCATCAGCATCATCTCCAGATATAAAAGTAAAATTGGAAGGAAACGTGTTTATCATAGAAAATGATTCAAAATTTGATGGCAGCTTTAACCCAAATACGTGGCACCATATCAACAAAACCTCCGACTTTGCATCTGTGAATTGTGAACAGCAGCAAGATATCAGTGTTACGACTATTGCAGGGCACTCTGGCTCTAGTGACTTACAGGAATCGGCATGGGAGCCAGTGCACTGTGAAGGGATACAGCAGGATGCATACAACCAGCAGTTACAGAGCCAGATCCAGGACTCCTCCTTGGGTCAAATACAAGCACAGTCTTCAAATCAGTTACCTCTGCAGTCTGAGCTTAAAGAGTTTGAACATACAGTCCCTCAGGCAAACGAAAACTTCTTTTCATTTGATGATGACCTTACCCAGGACAGCATCGTGGAGGAGCTGGTGCTCATGGAGGAGCAAATGTCCATGAATAATTCTCATCCTTACGGTGGTTGTCTAGGAATGGCACTTCAGAGTCAGACCGCAGCTCAAGGAGCTTCCGTGTCATCTCATCCAAGCAGCGTGCACTTTTACCATTCAATCCATAACAACAGCACTCC